TCATATCTATTCTGGACCATGATGAATGTCTATTCGAGTAGAAAGTATATTGTTGAGTTTTAGTATTTCTTTCTCTCCATATATCTTTTAGATTTAATTCCTCTATCATTTCAAAAAAGGATTTAGGGAGGATCTTCCTATTTTGTCGTGTTATTTTTGCTGTGTAATCCAATTCATTGTCTACAATTCCATTAAAATCTCCCATTATAAATATATTAGCGTAGTCCAGTTCAATTATTTTCATATGTAACTTTTTATAGAATCTTTTTTGTTTATCATTCGGAGCATAGATTGCAACCAAAAGTATCTTTGTATTGTTATCCACTATTTCAACCATTAATACTCTTCCATCTTCATCAGTATAAATCAATTTTGCTGAAATGGTTTCTTTAATATACAATACCACTCCTCTTTTCTTACACTGGGCCAAAGAAGTAAAAATTTTCCCTATTTTTGGTCGCACCAATAATTGTTGATGTTGTTTTTTAATGTGTACTTCTTGTAAACAAATTATATCAAATTTTAATTTCTCTATTTTATGAAAAATTTTCCTTTTTTTAGTAGCTGAATTCAGCCCATTTATATTCAAAGAAATCAATTTTTTTTCCTCCATAGTTATGATTTATATTTAGGTCTAACGGCTCTCGTTGATCTTACTTCACGTTGTTCTTTAGTCTCCACTTGTCCACCTACTGCACCTTCTTCTTTTCCCATCTCTATTTGGTCCTCTTGAAATTCAGTTAAGGTAGTCTCTTCTTCTATCTCTGTTTCTCTTCTTTTAAAAAATTCCTTATAAAACGATTCTGCTTCATCAATTGAGCCAATTCTGTATCTCTGTTCTTTCCATGTAATCATTAATCCTTCTGGAATCAACCATCTGTAATTCACCTCCTTTTCCAATAATACTTTAGTCAGGAAACGATATTCTCTCCTCATCTCTCTAATTTTTCTGGGTACTTGTTTTAAAACCCCAATCTCTTTATCTCCATATTTCAATGTCTTCTCTCTTGCCGCATGTAATATCTGCGTTCTGATAGATTTTTTAGTAAATCTAACATGAACTTCTCTTGGTAACTTATTCCTCGATGCATATCTTGTAAAAACTCGGTATATCTCATCTATTCCATCCATCATTTTTTCCTCTGTTATTTCCAAAGCTCCAGCCAAGATTTCTATCATTACTGCAGCAAGATCTTGTCCTTTTTCTTCCTCTATATTTTGAAATCTGAGGTAATATTCTGATCTGTCCATCTCCCACTTCACCATCTCATTCTTGTTTTGTTCAAGCGTTGTCACTCTGTCATCAATATTTCCAATTTTCTCATCTCTTTGATTGTCTTTCTCTTCTAATTTTTGCAATTTCTCATCTCTTTGATTGTCTTTCTCTTCCATTTTTTGTAGTTTCTCATCATACTTCGCCATCATCTGTTGGATATTTTCAATTTTTTGTTCAATACTCCCCATCCTTTGTTCAATACTCATTTTAAGTTCTTGAATTCCTTGCATAACCGTCGTTAGATCCGTTTGTCCTTTATCTTGCTTTGCCATTGTTGAAAGTCGTCCTCCAGTTGATGGGGAGGCAGGAGCAGAAGTTGATGCGCCAGAAGGTAGAACTTTCTTACTCATTTGAATAGCTCAGAATCTTCCCACTCTTTTTATCCAGTTGGCAGTGTAACAATTATAATCCAATTAGAGAAAGGAAAAACGTAAAAAAGAAAAATCAGTAAAAAAAAAACAAAAAGCCCAAAATTTAAAAAGGAAAAAAAATTCCAAGGAAAAAAGAAAAATTGCCACCAGAAAAATTTCTTTCTTCAGGTTCTTCTAGACCTTAATCCTCAGTTGCAATAGTCAAAAGGAGAATAAAACCCAATAATATTAAAAAAAATAACAATAATAATAAAAGGAAAAGAAAAGAAAAATTCTTCAGGTTCTTCACACCTTAATCCAATTGCGAAATCTCAAGAAAAAAAAAACATGGCCACAAAAAAAAGAGTATATACATACAAAGATAAAAAAAACAAAAGTCCCCCCCAAAAAAGAAAAAAAAAAGGAAAAAAGAAACAATATTCTGAGGCTTTCCCTTTAGAGAAAAAAAAATGAAAAATAATAATAATAGTAATAAGCAAAAGTGTACAAATATTACAAAAAACTATAGGGTTAAGGAGGAGGGATAAAAGCTAACAACAAGTAAAGCAAAAATCACACTGCATTTTATTTAAACATCCAAGGCTCTTATTATGGCTTCTCCACAAGTTTCAAAGCCAAGCTTCAAACATTCAGTTGATTGTAGAAATCCCAAAGAGACACCTGTGAAAACATTCTCCAGAGTTCCTCTCTCTATCTTATCAACTCAGTGTCCTTGGGAGAGAGTTTCTCACAGTTCTCTCAACTTCAAGTAAAGTATTTTCAAGCCTCTAGTTGGCAGTGTTGCAGAGTTACAAAGTTTCTCAACTCCACTCCCCCTTCTTCCTCCCCAAAAAAAAACCAATAGAAAAAGAAAATATGTATATATATATGTGTATATTTAAAAAAAGGAAAAAATCACTAAAGGAAGCCTCTATTAAAAATATAAACAGTCAAAAAGGAAAGGTAATTATAGAAAAAAACAAAACAAAACCAGTCTGGTTACAATTACTAATCACAATAAAAGTTCGCTAGAAAAAAAAAAGTAAAAAGCCAAACCTCATTTTGACATCTTCTAAAAAATCGCCACTAAGTCCATCTTATCAAATTCTGTCAAAAATCTTACAGATTCCTTCTTCTTCTAGGGTGTCCTTATCCCAAATAAAAAAAATAAATCTCACCAGCCGATACACTTTCTCTTTCTTTCTTCTCTTCCTTCCGGAGCTGTCCCTGCTTCAGCAGCTTAATGGCTGCCTCTCCGCCGATGGTAAAGGGGCTTCTTCTGGATCCACCAGGGACTTGCGGTGTCCCTGTGATCGACAGAACGCGCCCCTTACTATCACCGTCTCTACGGGACGGTTTAGGTCCGTTGGGACCGACCAGGGGCGAAGATATCAGCTGTAACTTCGGAGCCCCGAAATTACAGCTGTAACGCGGCGACGTGGCTCCGCCTTCTCCCTCTCCATTAATTCTTATTACATTCTTGGCAGGACTAGACTTCCTGTCTGGAACTTCTCTGGAGTTTTTATTCCTCCTTTGCTGATACTTTGCTTGTGTGGAGTGACCATTCAAAGTTACAATGGCACTGAAAAAAGTGACTTATGTCCGTTTTTCACACTTACGACTGTTGCAGCATCCCCACAGTCACGAGAGGCCAGGCGAGGAGATGCGTGCCTCGATGTGAGTGATGTTGAGTTGGTCACGCCCAGCCAGTCACATGACCTACCTATATACCAGTAATTCCTTTAGTTTAGATTATCAGCTCCACAAAATATTAAATTCAACAGAAGAATTTAAGTATAAGTAGATCTAAAAATTGGGACAGGTTCTTGGTCACCATAGCAGACATGAAAATTTGACCTACAAATACCATGACTTTGAAACTAAACTTTTAAAACTTTTTGAAGAAGAGCTTGGACAACCATTGGTCTGAAAGGTTACAGGATTTCCTGCCTGAGCAGTGGGGTGGACTAGAGGACCTCCAATGTCCCTTCTAACTCTATTGTTCTGTTATTCTGTATAATAACCTGGACATAAGCTTTATTTTACTTCCTCAATTTCTGAGGAAGTCAGTATATATATATAACTTTGAATTGTAGATCACATGCCTATTGGAAAATGGGCTGGACAGACTTATAATTATAAGCATGAACTTCAGATGGTAGATTTTTCACACTATCAACTATATCCAGGATGCCAATGAGTCACCCAGAACAGACCCTGAAGCATCTTCCTCAGGCCTGAAACAGCTCTGAAAAGTCATAGCTAAGCTGTAAGCAAACTTGCACCTATCTGTAGTTAAATGATACTAACTTTAGCTTCCAAGGATGATATGCCTGAGCCAATACACAACAACCTTTTACAAAGCATAAGTAAATAATATGCTTTCTCAACTATTTCCCTGACAACAGGGGTGGGATTCAAATTTTTTAACAACCGGTTCTGTGGAGAATGAAAGGATTTATACTCCTTGAAGACAGCTGGTCATTTGTACCTTATTAGCTTTTCTAGTTGGCAACACCACCCATCACATCAACAATTCACAGGACTTCACCAACAAGCTTTGGAAACTAAACTGACTCAGATGACACCATGGTTTCCTATGATGTGACTTCCCTCTTCACCAGTATGCCAATAACTGAGGCTGTCACAGTAGTGAACAAATGAGTGCTACAAGACAGCAGCTTAGGTGACAGAATCAGCTTCTGCCAAGACCACATATGTGTCATGCTAGACCTCTGCCTGACCACTACTTATTTTAAATACAAGGGAGGTTTCTACAGACAAAAACACAGCTGCACCATGGGTTCATCTGTGTCCCCTAATGTGGCCAATGTCTACATGGAAGAGGTAGAAACCAAAGCCCTGTTGTCAGTGGTGGCATGCTACCATTTCAGCCTGGTTTGGCCAAACCAGTAGTAAAAATCACTACTGGTTCTGCCCAACCGGTAATTTTAAAAAGCCTCCGATCAGCTGAGAGTAGGAAAAAGAAGCTGAGAGGATAAAAGACTGAAAAATGGATAGGAGGGTGGGAGGGTCACTCCTAGCTTTTCGTTTCTTCATCCTCTCAGGTGATTGGCTTGTTAGGGGCGCACACGTCAGGGGCATGTGCGCATGCACACACGATCACCCACCGAACCGGTAGTGACTAAGGTAGGATCCCTCTACTGCCTGCCTGTTGTGTAAAAGAAATTCAACCAAACAAAGTTGTAGAAAGTTGTAAAAAATAAAACCAATCTGCACAATGGGATTTCTTCTTATATTCTGTTTTTAAAGGTCTTAGGTGTTCTATCAAGACACTAGAATTGTGATGGATAATCAGCTTTTTTGTTTTCCTGCTGCTGCTAGTAACTTCTTAATTTGCTGTTTTGTTACAGTCTTTCAGCAAAAGGTGACTAGGACTCATGCTGGTAATGAGAAGCTGTTGAATGCCGTCCGGAAACTAGGTACAGAATTAAATACTTTTTTCAATTTTGCTGTTTTTTAAAGTAATATGAATACAGCTTAATAGCAATGCAGGATTCATTTCTCTTATTGTGGACAATCAGCATTGTATTAGAACTGCAACTTGACAGAATTCAAAGCCAATATGATTAATGTATATGCTGGATGAGAACTGTGGGAATTTGCAGTCCCGGCACATCTGGAGAGAACCAGGTTGGATAAGAAGGGAATATAGCATGCAACAATTAATAGCACAACTATCTACACAATTGTTCATTATTAATTGGTTTCACCAATGCAAATTATTGCACAGTCCTGGGATATAAATATAGATGAGGCCGGCAGGATAGCCATTTTGAGGTCTGCAGACACAGAACTCTCCAGTCAATCCTTCTAGCTAAAAGTCAAAGTTAGTAACCAGCTGCTACATTTGCTTAGAGGGGATATGGAAGGAATAGCAGACTGGAGGTAAAACAAGTTTATATGCTGGGAATCAGGTGGCATAAAAATTATCATTATGGTTGGTCATACAGTCAACCAGATGTTTAGACTGGATTTGGCATTTTTATTTTCCATATTTTTTGGAGTATGACACACTCCAAAGTATAAGACACACCTAGCTTTTGGGGAGGAAAACAAGAAAAAAATCTGCCTCTGTCTCCTAGCAATTTTCTAGCAAATTGAAACGGCCTGTTTCAGTTTCAGTTTCAGCACAGCTTGCTGTGCACAAGCAGCTGATTGTCAGTTGGATCTGCCTTCCAACGATCAGCTGTTTCAGGCTGCAAGGATTACCATAGCCTAAAGCCGCCTCCACGGACTCCATTTTTGGCATCCGCATTTCGTTTTTGGCCTCTGTTTGCCCCATTTTCGGCCTGTTCTGGGCGGTGGGGATCGGAACGGGCAGAAAATGGGGCACACAGAGGCTGAAAATGGGATGCAGGAGGCCAAAAATGGGATGTGGAGGCCAAAAATGGGGAGTGTGGAGGCGACAATAGGCAATGGCAATCCCTGCAGCCTGAAATAGCTGATCGTTGGGAGGCCGACTAACAATAAGCTGCTGGTGCTAATCAGGCTGTGCTGAAACTGAAACTGAAACAGACTGTTTGCTGTTTGCTGCATGGAGGCAAATTGCTGGGAGGCAGAGGCCAAAAGGTGGAGGCCAGCAGGTGTGCAGGGCTTCGGCAACATCCAGTGTATAAGATGCACAGACATTTCCACCTACTTTTGGGGGTGGAAAAAATGCATCTTATACTCCGAAAAATATGGTACCTACCAAGAATCTGTGATAGGCAGGTGTTGTTTAATAATATTAACAATATCATCACAGGATGTAAGCTGTTAGCATCATCATCCTTATCTAGTGGATGACAATTTCAGTGCATACCAACCAAAGAGATTACTAGATGGAAGCAACAAAACCCAGAAAACCTTCTTTACTGGCATTTAGTAGATGTCCAGATGACTTGAAAGTAAAATTGCAATGGTTTTCTCATTGTAAACTTTCAACTTCTTACTGGCTCCTAGCCTAATGTTGGAAAACGATAGCTTGTAGATTACTCCAAATTCTTAAAATCACCCCCACCTCCTAAAATTTTCCTCTCCTGGCAGAGAGGATATGTACATAATTGATGATACTTCTTTACTATTTTATAAGTGGGTGTAATTGCTTGGGAAAATCCCTGGGATAGGAACCATTCAGGAGTTGATAGTTCCATATATAAAGTAAATTCAAAAATTAATATTCTGCTGGGTTTACTATAGAATCTGTCTGGTTAAAAGGGAAGATAATTGTAACCATTTTGTTCTTTTATATATTATATTAAATATTAATATAATAATATCTGCTAAAAATATCTGCTAAAATTCATCTTCTAATATATCTATTGTATTTCCCTGGATAATCCACCAGTAATAATTTTGAAATTTGGCACTTCTAGAAGGCTTATAGACATTTAGAGTCAGTAGGGTAAGCTCATTTATTATCATAAGTCTCATTATGGGCTGGGGAGACAGTAGTCCATTTTTTTAGATGCCTCCAGGTTCCTCTTTCTGCTAACAAAATAGCCTAAAAGAGTATTCCATAGAATGTGGTTTCCATGTTGTAATAACCCTTGATCTAATTTCTTCTGATCTAAGTTACATCCATCTGGCTTTCTGGTTTCTTGCAGACACAATATGTCATGTAATTTTAATAAGTTTAACAAATTCTTATCAACAGTTTCTTATCCAACATCTTATATTTGAAACCATGATGGATAAACTATCTGAAATTGCACAGCTTAATTGTGATTTGATATGTGAGGTCTTCTTCCTAATTGTAGAATCAAGAATGCACTTTGTATCTACAATTTAAGCACTGTAGTGTCAGCTTTATTTGACCCATGGAAGCTTATCTCTTACTTGTCCTTTTACTGCCAATAACTTCATGTTTTGAACTGGATTTTACCATTGGATTGGAACACAGAGTGATTTCATCAGAGATCATTAGACTAAGGGCATTGGTTGGTTTGTTAAACAACAAAAGATACCTCTGGTATTGCAGTTAGATCTTAAAATCTAGATCTAAGTGCAGGTGGTTCACAGGCCTTTATCTGTAAGAAAAGAATCTGTATGGCTTGATGTCTCTTGAACAGGGGGGCTATATAAATTATTTTCATACAGAGATATTTAATTCATGGACCATTGCGCTTTAGATAACTATACCCTGGGAATTAGCTTTAGGAGACATTTTCTTCCTCCCTCCAAGGCTCAAGGTTGATATGATGTACTGTAAAGTATCATATACAGATTACATAACATAATTTAGCATTTTTATGTGCTTAAGGGAAGATGGATTGTACATATCATTCTGATTCTATGCACCTCTTCCTTCAGTACCACTGAGCAGCAGGACATGGATATCCCTTAAACAGCAGTCTTCAACCTTGGCAACTTTAAATCTGGCTGGGGAATTCTGGGAGTTGAAGTCAGGCAGGCTTAAAGTTTGGACGCCCTTGCCTTAAACCTCATGCCCTGGATCTAGTCATGTGAAGCACAATGGTCCATGAGAAGCTCATGGAATGCGACATGGTAATATACATTTTGATGACTCCCAATAAGGATAAAACTGGACATTATTGCCTCCTGGTAGTTAGTATTCCTTTTCCTTTCCATCAGCAAGTGGGATAAATGTCCACATATTTATTTATTTGTCAATAGCTTACATGATAATAAACATAAGTATAAATACAGGAAATGGGTATGAATAATTGGGGACAATAGGACAGGGACAGTAGATATCATTGTGTGCTTATGCAATTACATACCTCTTAGGAAGTGGGTGAAGTCAATAGTGGTTAGTTTGAGGGGAAAGGAGTGTGGGTTTGGGGATGTGACAACAAAGTCAGGTAGTGTGTTCCAGGCATTGACCACTCTGTTGCTGAAGTCATACTTTCTGATTGTGTGCTCTTGTATTGTTGCAGTTGAAGGTGAAAAAAAATCATTGATTGGTAGTACATTAAAGCAGATTATTTTATAAACTATGCTTAAGTCAAATATAGTATACTCTTCAGTAAGAGAACCAATAATGCACAATATAGCCCTCTTTTCCAGTTTAAGTTGGTACTTTGGGGAGCATTGACCCAGAATTTTCTGAAGAATGCACAAGCCCTCTACTTTAAAGTACAGATGTAGCCTAGCATTTATTCAAAAGAGTCCTTGCTGAGTATATATAAGAAGCCAATGTAATACTTGGCAAGTCTTAACCACATTATCAGTAAAATGTACTAGATCATGTCCATAGCCAAAATTGTGTCAGAAGAAGAGGAAAACACTTCTTTCAAATTACAACTAAAGACAATTTTAAGCTGTCTCAGCAATGGCCTATGGATGCAGAAAGCATACTTTATGTGCAAAAATGGAAGGATAGCGTATATACTCGAGTATAAGTCGACCCGAATATAAGCCGAGGCACCTAATTTTACACAAAAAACTGGGAAAACTTATTGACTCGAGTATAAGCCGAGGGTGGGAAATGCAGCAGCTACTGGTAAATTTCAAAAATAAAAATAATTAATTTGGGAAACGATCTCACTATCATGAAAGGTTTAATTGATTCACTAACCCAAAAGAAGAAGATGATGATGACAGCGGGAGGCAGGAGTCACTCTCTTCCCCTCCCTCGGAGGCCCCCTGAGTCAGGAGTCACTACCGCCGGCGCGGCCCCAGTCCCGCCGCCTCGGGAAGGGAAAGGCAAAGCACTTTTTGCCTTTCCCTTCCCGGCTGGGGCTGTTGGGAGTCGCTGCCGCCGGAGGCCGCGACTCCACACCATTTTTTTTTCAGAGGGGAATCTGACTCGAGTATAAGCCGAGGGGGATTTTTTCAGCACAAAAAATGGGCTGAAAAACTAGGCTTATACTCGAGTATATACAGTACTTTGATTCCCATAATGGACAAATGCCTGCAAAAGTTGATGGACTTCACAGAAATTACTAAATTGACAGCTTTGATTAAAGAAAAGAATACCATTAATTTTATTTCTACTTGAAAACTGCTTTTGGATTTTGTGCTTGAGGTGGGGGAAAATGAAACTTCGATTTTTGCTGACTAGATAGGTTTGTTGTTATAGAAATGGCTAGTATATATGATTATGTAAAAGTAAAAAAGTTGAGATTGTATGTTATTACCTTATTGCACCAAAAGGAGTCAGAAGACAATGCTTTTCTTTTTCTTTTCCCATTTATCCTACAATTTTTCCTGTTCCTCTTTTCCTTTCCTGTTGTCCTATTTTTGTTTTTCTTTATATCGCTGTATTTTACATTAAGGGACATGGTGGCTCAGTGGCTAAGACTCTGAGCTTGTCGATCACAAAGATTAACAGTTCGGAAGTTGGAATCCCTAGCACCACATAACGGAGTGAGCTACCGTTACTTGTCCCAGCTTCTGCCAAACTAGCAGTTCGAAAGCATGTAAAAATACAAGTAGAAAAATAGGGACCACTTTGGTGGGGAGGTAATAGCGTTCTGTGCACCCTTGGCATTTAGTCATGCCGGCCACATGACCACAGAGACGTCTTTGGACAGCGCTGGCTCTTCAGCTTTGTAATGGAGATCAGCACTGCCTCCTAGAGCCAGAAACGACTAGCACGTATGTGAGAGGGGAAACTTTGCCTTTACCTTACCTTTACCATTTTGGTGTGACTCATTTTTGCAACATGAAGACTTACAGACAATATTTTATCTCCCCTATAAGGTTAAATATAATTTGCTTAGAAAAGAAAAAGAACACAGGATTATCTTTGGAAATGTGTGACAGACTTATTATTTGATTGCTGCAGGATATTAGCACGACAGTGCTGCATTTTCTGCCTTTATTTTCTGAACCAAGCTGCCCACCCTTAATGGAATGTGTCAGAACTTCCTGTCTTGTGTTTCATAATTAGCTAATGGCATTGTGCTATCTCTTAACAGGAACTCCAATGATTATTAAATTTAATGAGAGTGAATTAATCAAGGAAATGACCATGAAACTGAATGGTAGATGTAGAATTCTCTCTCTCTCCCTCTCTCTCTCTCCCTCTCTCTCTTTCCCTCTTCCTCTCCCTTTCCCCCTCTCTCCTTCCCCCCTCTCTCCTCTCTGCCTCTCCCTCACTTTCTCTCTCTTTCACTTACACACACACACACACACACACACACACCAACTAGATATTATATTTTTACAATTCAGTGTGCAATATGTAGTATGAACAAGTTCATTTATCAACACAATTAAATATATAATATTAAAATATGTTCTAATATCTCAACTAGATGTTGAGCATGGGACAAATTCGTGTATGTACAAAGTGAAGGTAGTTTGCTGTTGATCAGTGAATAATGAGGCATATGGCTAAATATTCTATTGACTAGTAATTTTGAAGAAGATGGATAAAATAATTTGCCTCTGAGAAATAGGGCTTACTGGACAATATCCAGTAGATTCCAGAGCCATCTGGAGACTCCAAACATCTGTTTTTATAGTCCTTAGTGAAACGGCTGAAAATGAGCAGTGCAATTTCCCATCATGTTAATTAGAAAACATTGAAAATTATAACATCGCCCTTACAGCATTGTGAAAGTGATTAGGAAACATACATAGGCACATTCACACACAAACACACAAGCAAAAAAAAAAAACAAAAAAAAAAAACCCAGGGATAAAAATTCTGACTCATTCACAAAAGTCCTCCTCTTTTGCTCTCCAAATATTATATGGGGCTTGTAGACACCCAAATGTGGCCCATCCCAGGTGTTCAGAAATAGCAATTCTGTGTTGAGATGGGTTGTGTCTCACTTCCTTACCAAGAAATCCAAGGATGCTTATGATAATTTTTTCCTCATCATTTGCACTCGCTTTCTGCAGACAGAAGTTATGAGGACAAGGTCACATACACCATTGTCAAGCCCAATATCCCACCAAGGCAGGAAGAATGCATCTTGTTCCAACAGCGACTGAAAAAGGGAAACAGTTCCATGGATGAAATGCAGAAACTGGAGCCCTGGCAGATTCATACAAATAGACCGGAAACCACTCATCAGGTAAATTATTCATATATTTTGCCCATATTTATACTGAACATTTGAGGATAATATTTGGACCACTGCCAATAAATGGGATTTGTATTCCCATGAGTGTCAAATATGAAATCCTCCTTCTGGAATAATTATTGCTATAAAATATTATACTGGGTTATTAAAATGCTCAGAGGAAGATCAGCAAAAAGTATTTTGGCTGGCAGCAGTGTTCATCAAATTTGTAGGGAAGAAAATAGGGTGAAAGAAAATGCAAACAAATCATAAGGAGAGGACTTCCGTGTGAGCAGTGGCCCCACTGGAAGAAGTTCCCTCCTGTTATTGTCCTTTTGAATTTTATTGATCTTTTGGTAGACAGAAAGGCTATAAGCTACTGGACAGCTGTCCAAACAATGGAAGATTGGCATTCAAAAATAAGCTTTAACCATATTGTCACTAAATAAGTGCAATAAAACTACTCTAGTCTCTTTTGAAAGCACTTCTAAAAAAATTATCTGCCAGCAACTGAAGGAGAAGTGATAGGGGAAAAAATGCAAAATGTGCAGTGTGCACCATATTAATTTGAAGTACCGCATCTATATTACTTTATGGCACTAGTACCTTGCCAATATTTCATTCTCCAAACCCTTGAAAAGGATTAAAATCCAATCAAATCATCCAAAGTTCTTAATATTTTTGATGAGTTTATAGACACACACACAAACACAGTATTTCCCCAAAAATAAGACAGTGTCTTATATTAATTTTTGCTCCAAAAGAAACATTAGGGCTTATTTTCCAGTTAGGTCTTATTTTCAGGGAAATACAGGTCTAAATGTGTCCGTCTGGTTGACAAACTTAACGGTGGTTTATTTTTTGGATAGGGCTTATATTACGAGCATCCTGAAAAATCATCCTAAAGCTTATTTCCAGTTAAATCTTATTTTCAGGGAAACAGGGTGTTTATATTTATATATATAAATAGAAACAGAGTGTGTGCATGTGTGTGTGTTTGTGTGTGTATACTCTGTTTCTTTAAAGTGTTTAGAGTTATTGGCAGGCTGAAATAAGGTTGGGAAAATAAGGAAGAAATATTTTGCCATAGGTCTAGTTTGCTTTCTGGGAATCATGAAGTAAATTATAGTTCAACAGAACTGATTAAAACAGAAAATATCAAGGCTGATCTTTCTAAAATAATTATTTTTGCCCTTGAGGAGTGGGAAGTGGTAGTGATAAGGTTTCATTTTTTTCCCCTTGGGCAATTTTTCTACAATTCATTTGGTAGCAAATAGTGAACTGAATGAAGAAAAAAAATCTTTTTAAAAGGATTTCCTTTGCTATAACTCTTATGAGTGGGCTATTAAAAATCTTGATTGTTTGAATAATCAACTGTTCTTAATGATTTTTTGTTGCTCTTGTTTCTTATAAAAAAATACACCAACTCAGAGATTCTATTCTCAGAAAATACCAGAGGTGAAAAAGATGCATGGTAAATTACATTTTACAAGTATTGAAACTATGTTATGAAAGTGGCTTGAGCTATATTAGTAAAGTCCATGGAAAAACTTTCTCTAGATTTTTCCAGAATGTTGTAGGCAACTGCCAAATTTTGCCTGCTTATTATCATTCTAGGTGATGGAGTATTTCAAGGATCAACTCAATACACATGGAGAAACTGGACTGTAATTTCCTTTACAGTAAGGATTATCAAACTGTGGTCAATCAAGTCCTTCAATCAGTTGGGGAAAATTGTTAAGAAAATAGATGAACTTTGATAGCACTGGTGTCTTGATTTATGTATAAGAATTTATATGGACAGGTTTTTGTTTATTCTGACAAGTATTCATTCTGACAACTGTTTCAGGAACCTAGAAAACATCCTGGCAGACTTCTATAGGGGCTATTTCCCAATAAACAGGGAAGAGAAATTATTTGGACTTGATTTTTTTTCATAGCTATGTAACCAATTCTTTTTGTATTATTTATTTAGTGTGAGGTGATGTTACAATTAGCCAAGAGACTACAGTGTTAGTACAATGTAGTGGCTGCTGATTCCTTTTGTATCTTATTGGCACATTGGAATGTAATCCTGTAACAAAATCCAAATGAACAAGGAAATGTATCTGTTAAGAAAGAAAACCACAAAATTTTTATATTAGAGGAATATTTGAGTAAAAAAATATTCTATAGGGAAAAATTGGTGACAATATGCATCTTACAAAATGTTTCTGTTATGCATAATAAAATTTGAACATTTTATACTAACCCTTTCTGTCCAAATTACCAAAGATAAACTCAGATTACCAATCAAGAAAAGATCACTCAAATCAAATCAAAGGAAATCATTATTGCAATAATAGATCAGCATAAGTAGGGTAAAAACCAAAAAGAATCTAAGAGAATTCTTGTGGGTTTACAGGAGCATAAAAGTTTAGTATATGGAAGACCAGCAAGTTTTAGAGTATTGTATGTGGTAAACTAAATACTCATTAAATCTAATTTATCGCACAAGTTGTCATTTAATTAATTTTGATTGCTGCTGAACATTGTATGTTGTAGCAGCATTGGTATCTGAAAGCAGCAGGGTAGTGTATATACACATGCATACATAAGTAGACACACACACACACACACAAATTCATGCCTATCTGTTGGATTTTTTTTTCATTCGTGACCAACAGAATCACTTTTATTCACAATTAAGATGATAAGTCATATTACAGATAGTCCTTCACTTACAAACACAATTAGAACCCAACTTCCACGTGCTGGTTGCCAAGCCCCTGAATCCCAATCATGTGACCACAGAGACACTGTGATTGTTGTATGTGCAAGAACCATTTATAAGTCAAATGTCTATGGAGATTCTCAATCATCCAGGTCATGGTTGTCCCAAATGTGCATGTATACATCACTTTTTTCAGTACTGTTGTAACTTTGAATGGTTTTTAAATAAATAGTCATGAATCAAAAACTACCTGTAGTTTGAGCCTATTTTACTTTAGGGCATGCAGAACACTTGATTAGAAAGGCAAAACCAGAGGTGATATTCAGCAGGTTCTGACCAGTTCTAGAGAACCGGTAGCGGAAATTTTGAGTAGTTCAGAGAACCGGCAAATACCACCTCTGACTGGAGATTTTACAGTATCCTTCCCCTGCCACGCCCACTAAACCATGCCCACAAAACCGGTAGTAAAAAAATTTGAATCCCACCACTGGGCAAAACATATATTCAATGTGGATGGTTTAGAGAGTCACTTTCTCCCATTAAGCAATCAGGGAATTCTGAAGTTCTGCAAATTCTCAGAAATTCTCAGGATTGGGAGAAGGGGGCTTATCCAAAATTAATAAAACTAGATTTTATTTTTCCTATTATTTAAAATGTGTTTTATCTTTTTACAAATGAGAGTTTCTCTAACAAAAGCACCTGGAAGGCATCGCCTCAGAGTACTCTTCCAGAGGCTATTGTTAAACAGTAAAATGGTGCTTATCTCATGGAAGCACTGCCTATAGTATCTAACTAATGTGTTTCTTTAAAAATTGAAAGAAAATATATACTAATATCAAGAAAGATGCCACCAATAAAGCCACAGAGCTTCAGGATAACTTCAAACAAGGAAGATAATTTGCAAAATACCTTTTTCAGAATATGTCCATTTCCCCAGAATAAGGAAACTGCATTATATCAAGAACCAGTTTGGTGTAGAGGTTTACAGATTACAGATTAACAGAGTTGGAAGGGACCTTCTAGGTCATCTAGTCCAACCCCCACCCAAGCATTTTCTGATAAATGGCAGTCCAATCTCTTCTTGAAAGTCTCAAGTGATGAAGCTCCCACAATTTCCAAAGGCAATCTGTTCCATTGGTTGATTATTCTCACTGTCAGAAAGTTTCTCCTTATTTCCAGGTTAAATCTCTTCTTGTTCTGTTTCCATCCATTATTCCTTATCTGACCTACAGGTGCTTTAGAAAATAGCTTGATCCCTCTCCTCTCCTCAAATATTGGAAGACTGTTATCATGTCTCCCCTGGTCCTTCTCTTCACCAGACTAGCCAAGCCCAGTTCCTTTAACCGTTCTTCATATGTTTTAGTCTCCAATCCCCTGATCATCCTGGTTGCTCTTCTCTTTTTCTAGAATCTCAACATCTTTTTTATAGTGTGCTGACCAAAACTGGATGCAGTACTCTAGGTGTGGTCTTATTAAGTCTTTATAGAGTGCTATTAGTACTTCACTTGATCTTGATTGTATAATGTTAATGCAATTTAGGATTGCATTAGCTTTTTTGGCTGATGCTGCACACTGCTGATTCATATTTAGCTGGTTGTCCACTAAGACTCCCAAGATCTCTCTCACAGTTACTGCTATTAAGCCTGGTTTCACCCAGTCTATATGTGTACTTTTGGTTTTTCTTGCCTAAGTGCATGACTTTACTTTTCTCTACATTGAATTTCATTTTGTTAGATAGGGCCCAGTGTTCAAGTCTGTCAAGTTCCATCTGGATCTTGAGCCTATCTTCTTGGGTGTTAGCTATTCCTGCCAGCTTAGTATAATCTGCAAGTTTGGTAAGTTCCCCTTTTATTCTCTCATCTAAGTCGTTTATGAAGTTATTGAAGAGTACTGGGTCTAAAATGGAACCTTGTGGCACCCCACCACTTATTTCCCTCCATGTTAATTTAAACCCATTAAGAACTACGTGTTGAGTACGGTTTGTCAGCCGGTTGCGATCCATCTGAAGGTGGTGCTATCTATCCCACTTTTTTCTAGCTTACCAAGAAGTAGGTTGTGGTCTACTTTGTAAAATGCCTTGCTGAAGTCTATTATGTCCACAGTTAAGGCACCAGAGTAGAAACTGGGAGATCACGCATTCTAGTCTTGCCTTAGGCATAATGTTTGCCTTAGGTGATCTTCAGACAGTCAGTCCCTCTTAGTTATAAGAATGAAGCAGTGAGAAAGTATTCCATTTTCTTGACACCATTTCAAAATCTGCAGAGACTATTCCCGGCAGTCACCAGGAGTCAACAAATATATTATTTTTATTGCTCTAGTAAGTAAACTGTTCTAAGATTATTTATTCCATGATTTTTTCCTGACAGAACTGTCACAATTAAACAAAGTTCTCAAAACAAAACTGTTAAAGAAGTTTTGACACAAACCATTTTTATATAAGAAGAGAACAAGACAATCTAAGTGCTAAAGATACCGTGTGCATCAAACTATTTGGAAATAAGATATGTATCAATATTTCCAAGCAATTGTTGTTCGTGTGTTTTTACATATTAAACACTAGAAATGCTAATTTTTGAACCTAGGCCAATAATTAAAAAAGAAAAGAAAAAGTAATATTTCAAACAAAAATCACCTGATACCTCTCCTACTGTGGAGTTGCTCCATGAAGAGCTTATATAGCTGTCCCTGCCTTAGAAAAAGTAGCTGACACAATTCTAGAATTTCCTTTGCACAATATTTATTCCAATATGTTTACAGAGAAATGATTTGAGATCTAAAAGAAACCACTCTTTTGTCAACAGGAGATGCATTAAGCACTTGGGGGCGGGGAGGGGGTTGTTAAAGGTCACAAAGAAGGTAAATCATCTTGGTTTGAGGGAAATTAGAAGGAGTTTTGTGTTTTCACTTTGTGGTGCACTTAAGACTTCAACTAAAGGCTTCATATATTTTCCATCTTAAAAAAGCAAGAAATGGTGCCATCGGTTTCCAGTAACCATGGTCAGAGACAGCTCCTAAACTTGCTGAGGGCCCTTGGGCCTACAAAGTGCTTTCTCCTCAGTGGTGGGATTCAAATTTTTTTACTACTGGTTCTGTGGGCATGGCTTGGAGGGTTTGGCAGGGGAAGGATACTGCAAAATGTCCAGTCAGAGGTGATATTTGCCAGTTCTCCGAACTACTCAAAATTTCCGCTACCGGTTCTCCAGAACTGGTCAGAACCTGCTGAATACCACCTCTGCTCCTCCTGTTTAGAGGTAATTTTTCCCCCAAAAAAAGTTTTCTGCAAATGGGTGTGACTTTCAGCCTGCAACATATTTGTTGACTATAAAGTTTTAAAATGTAAATAGAAAAAGAATTCTGCATTCCAATAGCATTTTCTCTAGGTATCCAACTTCTCCAATGTTTCCAAACATGGACAGAAGCATCTGCCAAAAAATGCATAGCTCTAAATATAGATTTTACTTTGAAGCATAAGGAAAATGGGCTTTCAGATTTATATAGCTTTTGAAATTTAAATATTTCTAAACCCTCTTAGGCACATTTTAGCAATGAATGTCATAGTTGGGAAATATCATAATATAATATCAATAAAACTCACAAATGCATACCAGGAAAGCATACTAATAAGCCACCATTACTTAAACTTCTGACACTGCATTAAAAGCAGAGTCATAGCCAAAACCTAAAACATAACAATAAAACTTATTCAAGTATTCATAAAACCCATTACTCTATATATAGTTAAGGTGTCCATGTAAGTAATCACACCTTCTGAAATATTATTAAAAGACTATCTATAGCTCAGCATTGAATCGAGAAGTTCATGGTGTTCTCTGAGCATAGTTGTTTCCTTGCAGAAGTTTCATTACCCAACTAGGCATCATCATCTGAAAACGATGGGCTTCATAAAGGATTGATATTTAGACCATGTTAAGGCAGCAGTGATAGGATGCAGCAAATTACACAGTATCTTATAGTAGTAGTAATAAAAATTAAATTTGTTTTGGCATAAGGCCATGTCAGAATACAAAATATTAAGACCATATACCATATATACAGTAACCTATTAGATCAGGAGTGTCAAACTCGTGTTATCACGGCAGCATCATGTGACGTATCGTGATTTTTTTTTCCCTTCGCTAAACCAGGCATGGGTGTGGTCAGTGCATGACACGTCAGGCCCGCGGGTTGCGAGTTTGACAACCTTGTATTATGTACTTAACTCCATTACTTTTTTTTTAAAATTTAGTATTGGTAGCCTATTCTTTAACAATATTAGAGCAATCTAGATAGCATTAAATAGATTTTGCAAATGTGCTGAATCTAATAGTGAGTTGTAGCAATAAAGTGTAATTTATTTTAATTAAAATAAACATGTCTTCCTGGATCCAATTTCTTTTTGCCTTCATCAAAAACTTTCAGGATAGACTTAAATCTGTTTGAAAAAAATATTATTTAATGATTACAAGAATTAATTCTGATTGTGAAACTGCAGGGCCATAGAACATTACAATAACATTGTATGGGTTCTAAGTAACAAGCAATTCCATAATGTATCATATTAGCCCCAAAACAATTTAACTGATAAGTGAGAACAATCAACCAATGGAACAGCTTGCCTTCGGAAGTTGTGGGAGCGCCATCAGTTGAGACTTTCAAGGAGAGATTGGACTGCCATTTGTCAGAAATGGTGTAGGGTCTCCCGCTTGGGTGGGGGGTTGGACTAGATGACCTACAAGGTCCCTTCCAACTCTGATTATCTGTATCTGTATCTGATATTCTTCAGAATTTCAACGTTTCAAGTATCTTTGTGGGGAAAGAGAGAAGTTAATTCATAAACTGTTTAACAGCATTCACCAAATGTCACTTAAAAGTGAGCATAAGCAATTTAATCACTAACAGCTTTGCCTGAA